TGTATTTCAACACGAAACAGTCAAGGTTTTGGGTAAATCAGTGATTTGTGTAGGCTTTGGTGAATTAACCATACAGCAACTTGATCCTTCAGAGAATGGCCTGCATTTTTACTTGGTCACTTGGTGACCTGGCTGTTGGCAAGTTGGCTCTTGATGAGTTCATTGGAGCCAAGTCTGTTGCCTCCAACAGCAAGGAAGTGAGCCTGAATCTTTATCAACAGAACGACCCACTTTAGAACCTCCCCATGGAGCTGTGGACTCCAACAGGATGGATAAGATGCTGGAAGTTTAACTTCGCTTCTGTGGAGACAAATCACCCCTGAGCATCCCTCCTACTGGCCTTTCATAGTTCCTTGTCTCCCCTTACCTTCCCAATAAGAAGGCAGGCAAACAAAATGGGTGGAAGAGACTAGGAATAGTGGATTTGGAAGTGTGATAAATTGGGAGAACCATGAGATCCTTTTTGTGGACTTACCCACCCTCAACAAACCCTGCTCCCGGAGAGTGACCAGATCGTTGTTCTGAGGTTTCTGGGGAAACCTCAGAAGGAGTTTTTATCCAGCTGTAATCTGAGAGAATATGACTTTAGTTAAGGGCAACACCAATTTCAACTGCCACCCCTCCAAAATAAAGGCCCAAATATTTCTTCCTTTTGGTTCAGTTGAGGAAGGGAAGTAGAAGACGGAGAGGGGAGGACAGTCACTCACAGAAACTACCTGACCTTGGTAAAAGAAACAGTGGTTTCACCTCAGCAGAAGGTGAGCATGTAGGGCTGTGCCAGAAGGAGTGATGATAAATCCCTTGGCTGGTATGTACTGAGCCCCTTTCTATTTGCCAGTCACTGTGTTAAGTGCTTGGCATGTTACATTGTCTACTTCTCACAAAAGCCCTGTGAGGTAAGCATTGACATTTTCCTATTACACTTGAGCAAACTGAGGGATTGGGGAGTGTTAAGTCATCTGCTCAGGCCTCCAGCCAAAAGCTGTCTGACTTCAATATCTGTGCTTTATTTATTCTTTCCCAAGTTCTGAAGTCAGGGCCTCTTTTGTGTGCTTAATCATTTGTTTTGAAACATGTCTCTTATGAAACAAGGATGTGAGAGAGTCTGATGATATTATCACTAGAGACTCAGGAGCAATGAATATAACCTTCTCAGTTTCAGTGTCTACAAAATGAGGATAGTAACAGTGCCTATTGAATAGGGTTATTGAATAGGGTTTTGCTGAAGATTGAATCAGATAATTCATATAAAGCCCTAGCACATGACACATTGAAGATGGTTCATCATAACATCTCCCTATAAGGTGTAACTATGATTTCTGGTAGGATTAATGGTAGTGAATGGTGTTCTTTGAAATGGCCTTAATGGGGGAAATTGTTGGGACCCAGTTTTATTTTTATTAGTCCACAAAATTCCCAATTTGAGAAGCCCTGCTATTAATCACACAGATATGGAAATTGTTCTCACCTGAAGATGATTGGTCTCAATCATAACAAAGAGAAGAAGGTGATTAACTATGTCCTGTTTCTCCAGGAGAAAGTGCTGTACTTGCTTCTGGAAGACCCCACAAACCTCAAGAACGTGGACACAGAAAGAGCATGTGGACATGGAGTAGCGAGGCAGGGGAATTTGGAGGTGGGGATAGAGAAGTGAAGGCAGCCAGAAAAGATTCAAATCCCGGTTTTACCACAGACTAGCCTTGTGACTTTAGACAGGCTCTCTGGCCTCTCTGAGACTCATGTATACAATGGGGATGGTAATGGTCACTTCCTAGGGTTGATAAGAAAATGAAATGGGTTGATACAGGATATGGAACTGTACTTCACAGAGAACAGGAACTGGAAACACACAGCTCGAAGGTAGCTGAAATCCAAAGGGGAAGAGAGAGTTCCAGGTTCCTTCGTGTTAAGCTTTTGGGGCAAAGGAAGCAAGACCTCCCCTAGGAATCCATGGAGCCCCTGGTGACAGGTGCTAGGCCAAGACTTCAAATGGGAGATGTGAAGGGGATTCTTGTTTGCCCAGAAGACAGAGTCATGAAAGCTGTTTAGCATAGGCTACTTGCAGGCAAAAATATTTCAGGGAAGGGAGACTGCTATTTCCCAGAGGTGAACAAAAGTGGCCTCTGCAGCAGGAGTTTACAAATGTGTAAGTCAAAACTTACCTCCTCCCCCATTCAAGGCTGTGTCCACTTTAAAAAGCATGGTGCTCTGTACAGTGATGAATTGCCTACAACCTCATCATCACCATTCCAGACCAAGCTTTGGGAATCCTCTGTCAATGAGGGCAGGTCCATCCAGGATGAGTGTGTGCATGCTCTCCAGGAGATATACATGCAGGGCTTTATGTGCCCTGCTTGCCTAAGTTTACCTGAGCTCTGTTGAGTGGGACAAACCTCCAGGGAAGAGAGGGCAGGCAGCTCACTGTGCCCTCCTGGGAGAACTGAGGAGGTGACATGTATCAAGGAGACAGTGCTTATTAGGGAGAATTCCTCAGGAGAAGCCTGCAGGTCTCTACTCTGTTAGCTTCTTCCCGAATTCAGGAAAATCTGCCTGAGAGGCTCTAGGAAGTAATGGTCTACATAGTGTTGTGGGGGAAATGGAATGAGAGAAAGTGGGAGCCTTTCTTCTCAGGCCTCTGCATGCTCCTCTGGAATTACATTTCTTCCATCCTATCCTTTTATTTTTTACTCTTATTTTTTCCATCTCCTCCCTTTCCACCTTCCTGCCTACCCAAACATCCCTTCCCTTATCTTCCATCTTTATTTTCCACTTCTCCCTCATTCTGACCTGATTGTTTCCTCCTTTCGCCTATGCCCAGCAAGGCTGATAGCTGCAAGTGCTAAAATCCTGTCTAAATCCTGACATTCCTCTTTTATCAAGTAAGCCTACTATATTGGTTATTTTTACATATCAATTTGACTGGGCCAAAGGGTGGCCAGCAATTTGCGTCACACATTACTCCTGGTGTGTCTGTGAGGGTGATTTAAGGTGAGATGAACATTGGAGCAGGTAGACTCTGTGAGGCCAACTGCCCTCCATATTGTTGGTGGGCCTCACCCACTCAGCTGAAGGCCTGAATGGAACAAGGCTGTTGTTAACTGTCTCTCTACAATAATAATTGGTTGCAGCCAGAGCCAGGGAAAGGCAGTCTCCCAATAAATGGAAACACATGACACTGGTGATCAGCAGCTTCCTAAAAGATCTCAGGAGTTTGGCCAGCGGGCTCAAGCATGTGCATTAAGAAACAAAATTGCAGGCTTTATCTGACATACTCTGGGGTCATTGACTGGTGAGGGAAGAACACCTCAACTGAGCATGGATACAACTCTAGTAAACACACTGTGCATGCAACCTCTCCCTCTGTAATGATCGAGACTTCTCTCACGTACTTTTTGGTTTATAAATTGGCAACCAACTGGAGGGACTCTAAGTGGAGGTGGCCCTGCCCTTTAACAAATTTTCTATGGGTGTTGGGTACCAGCATGGGCTATCTTTATTGCTTAAACCAAAAGGAAAATTTGCTGAGACCTGGGAGCTCCCTCTGTTACTAGAAAGGGGTCCCGATCCAGACCCCAAGAGGGGTTTATAGGATCTTGCACAAGAAGGAATTCTGGGTGAGTCTACAGGGTTAAGTGAAAGCAAGTTTATTTATAGGGGAAAGGAATAAAAGAATGTCTACTCCATAGGCAGAGCAGGAGCATGGGCCACCGGTTGCCTGTGTTTATGGTTCTTTATTGATCTTATGCTAAACAGGGGGTGGATAATTCAGGAAGGTGAAGGAGAGAGAGCTATTATCTCTGGCTTTGTCAAAGAGGAGAGAAAGCTGGAAACACAAATATGCACTAGAAGTTGAACTTTTGGGTTTAAAAAATAAAAATCTGTTGTAAGTTTCCTAAGAGTAAATCAGTTAACTGAAGAAAATGTTGTTGTTCTAACCAATTCTTTAGTGTATTAGTGTTTTTTTCATTCCAAAGCGCAAATTCTAGAAAGACTATTAAAAATCATTTCCTTTTAACTATAGCCAACTTGATCATGACTTGATCATGTAGTTATTTTTTTCTCATAAATTCTCTTTCTACAAACCTTATTACAAATTATACAAACTGTTTATGACATGCTTGGACTTCCTGTTCTATCCTAAACATTCCTATTTTGTAAACAACCAGTTATTTTATTTTAGCACAAGAATTTACAATACAAGTGTGGACATGGTGGCTCATGCCTATAATCCCAGAACTTTGGGAGTTCGAGGAAGGTGGATCACTCGAGGCTGGAAGTTTGAGACCAGTGAGACCAACATGGGAAAACTCCACCTCTACAAAAAATACAAAAATTATCCAGACATTTTGGCACATGCCTGTAGTCTCAGTTACTCCAGAGGCTGAGGCAGAAGAATTGCTTGAATCCAGACAGTGGAGGTTGCAATGAGCTGGGATCATGCCACTGCACCCAGCCAGGGCAAACAAAGCAAGACTCTGTCTCAAAATAAATAATAAATAAATAAATTTATAAATAAATAATTTACCATAAAGGATTCTTTCTCATATAATTTTTTTTTCCTTTTAACCTCTCTTACCCCAAATACCTTTTATATCTATAAAATTCTTTATCGCTCTCTTATTTACTGGTTTCTTTTACCTTGTTTCATAAATAACCTTTAAATAATTTTTGAATTAGACAAAACTTATTTTACTTTACATAAAAAATACTTTTAGAAAAATGTTTTCCAATAATTTTTTAAAAACATTGAAAATGATGCAAACATATAATTAATGTTTAATATTTGATTAAGTATAACTTTAGACTTTAAATTACCTAAGTTTATTTACAAGCATGTAAATTATATTTACATACTTAACGAATTTTTAGTTTATGGAGATTACTTAGGAAAACTGTGGCAATCATCATTTAAAAGTATTGATATATGTGTTTTTTGGGTGTTTAAGTAAGACACATAAGGTTAAATAAATGAGGTTTGTTTTTGGCCAATAACTCAGGGTTTAGTTGTTTTTATTAAACCAACAATGTTAAATGCTTTATTTATGTAAAACATTACAAAAACAAAGCTAATTCTACGTTTGGTTGCAAGCTTCATAATGCTTTATAACACTCATGCAAATGTGGACACCTTTTAATATCTGCCAGAGGTACACAGTAAACTGCTTGAGAAATCTAAAGAATAATATATGTTGACAATTCTGAAGACATTTCTAATTATATTTTACCAATAGTTTCAAAACCAGGTCATTTATTAAATATTTACTAAAGTCACATGAACTTGAAAAAACATTTAGGCTTAACATTTCTATTATTCAGATATAGTATTTAAGTGCTTATTTTTTCTTTAGGCCAATTAATCAGAGCTCATTTATATATTTTTGGTAATGAAACATTGTATAGGTGACAATACATAAATGTGTTAGACATGCACATAGAAGTAGGTGTTATAGATTTGCAAGACCTCTTTTTTATTCCTCCTATTTCAGACGTCCAATTTCATGGTAAATTGTTTCATTACCCTAGGCATTTGTCAGCTAGATAGTATTAAATTTGCATACTAAAGGAAAAACTCTCAGGGTCAATGTACTTGTACTTTTTGTTAATATATTTAATAGATATTTGATGAGCTCTTGATGGGGTGCTATGAAAAATATGAATCTGGCTCAAAGACACTGGCAAAAAGTGGCACAGAGACTATCCCTTAGACAGTGGAGAATATGAAGAAATGGACGATAACAAAACAGAATGGGCCAAATTGGGCCTGGACAGGGGGAGGCATAGGTGGACGAAACAAGGGTGAAGGAGAAAAGAAAAGAGGAGGAAAAGGTGGCATGGGGAACACAGGCTGCCAGAATGGCTGTGGCTCCAGAACAAACCATCTTCCATCCCACTCCTGGATAAGGATAGCATTATAGGGGATAACCACGGGTACCATGACAAGCTGGCCCATGTGCATGGGGCGCGACATGTTTCTCAACCTTAATGCCCTCTGACGTCTCCTCCAGCGGGCTCTTCTATTCTCAAACCAAATCTTGAATCAGAGGAAAAAAGGAAAAGGTTTAGTATACTGAACATTTCATATAATCATGGAAAAAACACAACAGGCATCTCTCTGTGTTCTTAACGTTTTCAATTGCATCAAGACAAGCTACTTCCTTACTAGTAAAATATTTTAGAAAGGTGAACACCACACCTTTCCCCCAGCGAGCTCCAAGGGTGTGCTACCTATGCTCTGGCTTGGCTCATTTCTTTTTCTCTCTCCTCCTATCTGTAATACTACTTTTTTCACTCTTGGGTATGGGTGTAGCTGATGAACGGGACTTGGTCCCTGCTGCTTATTGCTATGTGTGGTTCATCTGCTTCTGGACACCTGACCATCAGCTATCCAGCTGCCACTAACTCCTACTTACTAGGCCACTGTCACCCTGGTTGTGGGGAAAGCTGAGCTTGGAAAAAAAAAAGTGTGGGGGGGGTGCCTTTTAAAGTCATATCAAGGGGAACAGGCCCCATTTTTGAAAAGACCATCTTCAGTGTGAAGTGAAAAACAGATAGGAGTACATTGTATTTTAAAACAAGTTTTCTTTCCTTCAAGAAATTCTAAGGGATCATTCATCTTCCAAAACTCCTTGAGAATTAAAAAGATGGTATTGCAAGGCATGTCTGGTCACAGGGGGCCCAGGGAGTTTATGAATTGCCTTGCTGTGTAAAGAGGATCTCTGACACACTGGGCACTGTCTTCACACTTCAGCTTGAAGTTTCGTGGAAGGAGGACACAAATGCTTTCCAAATTCACAAAAATTCTCAGAAAGCTTTGCCCAGTTAAAGTTTGGGGGAAAGGAAGCATTGCTAATTCTGCATGCTGCAATCCATCCCTCCCTCCAAACCTTCCCAGGCTCAGGACAAGGTCAGCTCACTTGGTTCTCCCTACAGTCCCAGGTTCTGGGACACAGACTTGATTGCTCAGCTCTGCGGGATGCCTTCAGCCATCTAGCCCTGCTACTCAGACAGAAGATCCCAATCTCTTGAGTATTCACAAAGAGGGAAAGTCCAAGTAGGCATCTCTGAAGATGTTCAGTAGTAATGTGGAGAAAGTATCAAAAAACACTACTCCCTAAACACCTGCCAACTGTTAAAAGAATAAAACCTGTCCATTAAATAGCACTATCCCCCCAGCTTCTAATTAATGACATTTCCATTGTATTTTTATGCTTCTGGAAGTTTCCAAACTGCAAATTTTATGGGACAAAGGGCCTCTTCTTCCTGTTTGGTGCCCCATTTCCTTCTCCCATCTTACTATTTGGAATGTTTCTCCCTCATAAATATATAGTCTAAATTTAAAGTCTATTGTAATAGTGCTTATAAAGAGACAACTCAAATGTACCAGTGGTCAAAGGTTCATAACAAAAGCAATGCCAAAAGTAAGCTAAATGTGCTGTGGACCAACATTAGGTCCCTATTCTCAGTGTTGGTTTTATTAAACAGCCCTTACTATCTTTACAAAATAGAAGGATGAAACATGTATTGAAAGTTTTTTTGAGATATTCATGCTGAAATGTTTGGCAATAGATAAGAACATCATGCCTTTTTCCTTATTTGCTGAGTGAGAGTGGTCATTTTTCCTTTAGAATTGCATTGAGTGAATGCTAGGTAAACCTGGGGAGGGGAAAGGCAATTCACCAAAACGTCAATATTTCTTCTATCCCAAATTTGCATTGTCTGCCTGAGAAAGTGGAGGGCAATAGGATGCCATCGCTCAGTGCCCCATTTTGTCAGGCTGCTTTTCTACATGCCACCATTGACAAAACCTCAGCACAGTTCCCTCACTGCACTCACACACGTGTGCTCTGCAGAAGAGCTATTAAGGTCTTCCAGATTTTTCTTTCTTGCTTTCCTTTTTTGCAAATATTCCTTTGCATCCATTCACCTATAAATTAATTATTATTGAGCAAATAAGAAGGTATTTCAAATTACCAAAGGTAAGAGTCTAGCTTGAACTGAGAGCCATCCCCCACTATCAACACATTTCAGCAAATGCATCTCTTGCTAATAGTACCACAAACTAGAAGAAAAAAAAAAATCTTAAATGTTAGAAATTGCTCAAGAAAACATTCACTGATGAATTTGGTAATTTCAAAAGTTGAATGCAGGGCCAGCCATGGTGGCTCACACCTGTAATCTCAGCACTTTGGAAGGTCGAGGCAGGAAGCTCACTTGAGGTCAGGAGTTTGAGATCAGCCTGGCCAATATGGTGATATTCCGTCTCTACTAAAAATACAAAAATTAGCTGTGCATGGTGGTTTATGCCTGTAATCCAAGCTACTTGGGTGGCTGAGGCAGGAGAATCACTTGAACCCAAGAGGCGGAGTTTGCAGTGAGCTGAGATCCTGCCACTGCACTGGAGCCTAGGCTACAGAGCAAGACTCTGTCTCAATAAAATTAAAAAAAAAAAAAAAGTTGAATGCATGCATTTTCCCCAAGACATAAGTGTGACTGTACACAATTTTTGCCCAAGACTTCTATCCTTTTTAGGTTGCTGGAAATTTGTTCAAAATTGATTTTTTAGTTTGCTTTGGTTTCTAGACAAATTTCCAAAGGTTGCAAACCTTTTCCCTGTCTCTACCATAATGCACAACCAATTAGGTCAGCAGTGCTTTCAGGCTGGCATATCAAAGTATTTCAGAAAATTAAAAGTTAGAGCTGCCACTCTCTACAAGGCTTTACCAAATACTTAAAAACAACAATAGGAAAGCCAGGCAATTTAACTTTATGCTATCCCCTGCCTATGAGTCTCAGCTTAAGGAAACATATTCTGGTTGTGAATTATTCCTTTACCCCAGTGCCTAAACATTTATAAATTCTTAACCAAAGAGTTTATGCTTGGTTTTAAATATATTGAATAATTTAGTTTAATGGAGCTCTTTGGATAATTCCCATGTCAGAAAACCCTAGTATGCCTCTACATGAAAGTGCTACTTACAGTATACCAGTGCTAGGAGTCGAACCTTATCATATACTATGCTACATTTAATTTATACTGTTATATAATATATACATATATATTTGTAATTTGGAACATATATATTTATACATTTATAATTTATCTAAATATATAACATATTTCAGACACAGAAATACAGGAAATAATTCAGTACTGATTTTTTTTTTCCCGTGGATAGTCATGTTCCCTCTGGTAATGAGAAATTTCCACAAGCCAGCTCTTCTCACCCCATTTTCCAGCCACAAAGATCCCAAAGTTCACACCTCATTTCCTATACATGAAAAAGGCAACAAAAACACCAGCGTGGCAATGTCTAGGTTAAAGTTGTGTCTAAGCCCTGAAGCAGGTTTTAGAATGGCTGCCCTGCCCGATTGCTTTTTCCCATTTACTGACCTGCACTGTGACTTCAGTCACATTCATGCGTCTTGCAAGCGCCCTTCTGCGGAAAGAAACCACATATGTTCAGCATTTGGATTTGTGGGTATCGTTTCATTCTTGTGTTTAATCTTTTATTCCACTAACTCCCCTACACGCAGTAGGCTGTTGTGTAACATCCAGCTGAGCTTCACATTGGGAACTTTTCTCTCAGGCCCCAAATTAAGGAGATGCCAAAAAAAAAAAAATCAGTAATCAAGATAAATGATATTCCAATATAATATTTGAAACTTAGAAAAATTAATGCCAAAGAAACCCATGACAAACAACAGACTTCTCAGAATTTTAAATAAAGGCAGTATGCGACCCTGCACTTGCTTACCACGCCTTAGGCTTCTTACCTTTATTTCTGCCTTGGCTGAGTTACGAGTTACTTATCATAACAGACCTCAGGCCAGAGTTGCCCAACTTGGTTCATTTAAATTCTGCATGATGTCCAGTAGGCATAGCCCCACTCCAGAACCCACTAGGTGTCAGGGGTCAGTGGGGAGGGGACGGCAGCGATTCCAGGCTCTAGGTGGTTTTTGGTTCAGGAGGGGATTTGGGTGGAGAGGAGCTGGGGGAGAGCCAAATGTTGCCCTGGAGCAGCACGTGCTCCCTGCAAACAGCCGCCAACTAGAGCAACCGGCTTACCGTAGGAACTCGCTGGGGAACTGCGTGCGTCGGAAAATTCCTTCCAGCTCCCGCCGCTGGGATCGGGTGAAGGCGTGGACGAAAGGCCGCTGCATGTTACCAGGCTCTAGTCCCGAGCTGGCACCCTGGGGAGGCGGCTCCTGCTGTCCGGGTTCCTTGTTGTTTTCCTTGCTGTGCTCATCGTCGCCATTGCTGCCGCCGATGCCCTCGTGGTTTTCGTCTTCTAGGGGGCCAGGAGCTCCTGCGCCAACGCCGCCACCTATTTTTTCTTCTCCTCCGTAGGCTCCTGCCGATTTTTGTGCTGTTGCCGCTGCGCCTTGCTCAGGTTTGGGCTGTGCCTCCCCTTCCTCCTCTTCGGACTCTTCAATAAGAGACAGCACCGCAGCCTCCACACCTGGAAAAGTAGAAACCGAAAGATAAATATCAAGGCATTGGAGCGGAGGGTGTGGGAAGGAGGCTCTGAAGGGCTGTACTCAGAGCAGTGGTGGTGCCAGGCCACCATCCAGTCCACTCGCCTCTCGCAGGGAACCTCAGTTTCCTGAGATTGCTAAAGTACATGTCCAGGCACTGACCCTGTAGTACATCTTCCTCGTCGACTCCAGGACTGAACAAGCTGGTGATACCCTGGCTGGACCTGTCCAGTGGCTCCATGCCGTCAGTGCTGTGGATGGAGCTGTGCGCTTCTGCAGACTCTGAGCTGGGAGCTCCTACTATCTCCTCGGCGGGACTAGAACTGTGACTCGCAGTTTGGGAGGGTCTTCTGTTTTTGGCGGGTAGACTCGGTTGGTTACAGTGTATCCATTTAGAGACCTCCTCTCTTGGGTTTCTTCTTCCTGCCAGTCATTGTGTAGGCTGGGCCTACTGAGGTGCGCATGCGTCAGGCGCTTGGCCTCGCCCTGCGTTGCAGGGAGCACGGAGTGTTGGGGAGCAGGGTGGGCGATGCTTGCATGTGTTGTGCTGTAGATGAGCATGCGTGGGTGTCGAACTTGGGTCTACAAGTTGCATCTTAGCTGCCTACTCTGGTCTTGGTGGAGTGTCTTCCCAGAGGAAGCCGCTGTGCAGAATTGGGCAAGCAGATTTGCCAGGTGTAACAGGCCGACCTCATGACAGTTCCAGAGGCCTTGTAGAAATGTTTCCTCTTCTACCAGCCATCCAAATCCAGTAGTTAGTACTTGACAGGGGTTAGAAATTAAGCTAACATACAAGAAATTAACTTAGGAGCCTGCCATGCTTCTCAGGCCTCCAGGAACGGGAGCTTGGGACTGGATTTGCAGAATGTGCTAGCTGCTTAGATGCACTCTGCAAAAAGTAAGCAAAAAACCAGAAACACAATTAAAGAAAAAATTAACAGTGTGCCCCTTGAGAAAGTTTATTGCCTATTGGCTTTTAGAAATGAATCCGTGTTAGGGTACAAGTATAGAAAACTTCACAGTGCTTACTGCATCAAAGAACCCTTACACTGCACAGCCTTTCTTTCTGTTTTTAAAAATTATGTTTGCAACTGTTGGTGTTGCAATGTCTTTGTGTCAGCTTCTGTGTCTCTAGTTGAATACCCTCTACGAAAGGGCACATGTCCCTTGTGTTGGGCCCCTGTCAACCTGGATGAATCCCCCCTTTCCTGCTGCTGCCTTGCCCCCTTCTCGCTCCTCCTGGCTTTTTCTGAAAATATTTTTCTAAGCGCTTTCTGAGGGATAAACTGTATTTACTGTCCAATTAAAGAGAACCAGGCCACACTGAGAGCTCTGTGTTTTTTGTTTCAAGAAGCATTTTATAGATACTCTACAAGTTGTTAATTTCCTAAATATTGAAAATACCTTCTAAAGATGAACTTTTGCCTTACAATGTGCTTGATAAATCTTTTTTTACCTGCACAACCACCATTCTCATGAATTCCATTTTATATTAGAAATTATTTGTCTAGTCCTCTAAATGTATCATGGGTCTTAGTCACCTCACCTACTGTCTAAGGATTAAGTCCCCCTTGCCTCATGTTCCCAGAGGCTAGGTAAGAAAATAGCTTAAAAATTGTTGGTTGACCAATTTATTTTCAAAAACATGGTAAGAGATGGAACAAATGTGAACCTGAAAGAAGCAACTCTTCCAGGTGGATCCCAAGTGACTAACTGGGCCTAAATTAAAAATATAGCCAAATATGTAAAAATTTAAAGTATAGCCAAATGGGCAAATGGCCATATGCTGACCAGCGGCCACACACCTACACCTCTAAAACCCACAACTCTGTTTAACTTAAGGACTTTCAGAGTTCACCTAAACCAACCAATCAAGGTTCAGCTGCTTCAGGCAATCAGGGCTCAGCTATATTGACCAATCAGAACTCAGCTGTGTTGACCCATCTGCGCTAAGCGAGTTGCATACACGGACCTGATTGGGTACCTGAACAGAATCATCTCTAGAAAAGCGAAACCTTCCCTCTGTTCTCTGGAATGCACCTTCCTTTTACACTAAAGGCTGCATTTTCAGTTTGCAAGTTGTTGACTGGAATAAAGTCTTTTTCCTCTGCATTCCTTTTTAGAGAACTTTTGCTTACAATGCAAGCTGGCAGCCTCTGTCTGACTTTAACCAAGACATTTCCTCCTCAGGTTGGCGCTTGCTAGGTTATGTACTCCTCCCTGTCTCTTGGCCACATACGCCATGCACAATTTTGGCCTAGAATCAGTTATTACATGAAATATCTACAAGAATTTTAGCCATGGTGTGTAGTAGCCTAGCTAGGACATCTGTGACATCGCAGGAGGTGTGTCTTTTCACATTTCAGATTTCCAGGGTGTACTCAAGAGTTTCTAAGGTACCCATTGCTTTAGGAAGAAAAGGTAGGTGGAAACCAGAATCAGCGTTCTTTTGTGATGCCTATTGTTGATTTGCTTTGTGGCAAAATAAGAGCTTTGATCTGAGTGTGTAACTTATGGTACTCACAATGGCTGAAAAAGCACCTTTGTTGACCCCAATGACATTACCACAGGTTAGTGCATTGCATATATAAGCCAACAAAAGCCTGTTTATTACCAATGTTACGACATATTTAATGGCTCCTGCCACTGCAGGAAAAGACCAAATGAAATAAATTGTCCAGTTACGATGTGGCCTTTCTCCCCTGTGCACTTTTCCTCTCATGCAGTAGACCCAGTTTCTAGATTTCTGACATGTGATACCGTCCCTAATGGGTTTCTGTAAATATCTCTCTACTGAGTTGAATCCTCTATTAAGAATTCATTTTCATAACCCTACGATGTCCAAAGCCCTGACTTCTCATGTTACACTGATAGAAGGAGTAGAGTGACTCATCCCAAAGTTCTGGTGATGCTCCTTCCTTCAAAATACCTATCTGTTTTGGTGACTTGGTTTGTTTGTCATCCTTGGTGTTACAGCATACCTCCTCTATTTTTATTTGATATGAGCCAAGGAATGATGCACCACGATGGCCAGTGGGAGCCACTGTGGCAATTTTTTGCCACGTTTCTTTATCCTAAATATATCAACCTTGTATTTTCCAGCCTTTACCAAATTCCTGACCAAGTATGTGGCTTATTATCCACCAACCTGTAGTAGGTAAAAAATATAAACCTTAGGAGTCTGTTTGTCTATTGCTAGGAGTATTGCGTGCAACACAGCCCATTGGGCACTTTGGTCTATTCCCCAAATGGAAATTGCACTATTTGAATAGGGGTGATAGGCTGTACCTGTTCATTGTTTGGTTCCCTTGTACTGTATACCTGCTCCATCAATCAAGAAAGACCATTGCTTTTTTCTTTTGAGAGTGTGGTCTAACCTCTCTACAGTCCCTATTGAGCTAGAGTGGCAGGTTTTGAAGAGTTAACCTCAGTAGCAGAGTATATGGCTATTTCCTCATGGAGTTGTGGTACTCCAGTTGGCCCAGGTTTAACTTAATCCTCTAGATATCGTTTCCATATAACAAAGAGGCCTCTGTTATAGCCCAATTCTACCAGGATCTTTTTCCATTACCCAGGGCATAATAGGAATCTTAGTTCACAGGGTAACTGGCTGTCCCCCAGTAAGGGCTTCAGTTTTGGTATGTTCCCACTATGCCTTCAGGAGATGCCTCTCTAGTGGAAAGTACTTTAGGGCTGAGTCTGAAAGCTGCTTACACCAAAAGCCAATGCTTAATCATTTACCTGTTCATTTGGTCCAGAGGTTGCAGGTAGCAAATTTTGGGGTACCTGAAACCTCTAATTGTAAGTCCTGCTCTTGGGGCACTCATGGGAGAGTTGACATGATAGCCTCCTTTAGTTTATCTAGAGCCTGTTGTTGTTCAGATACCACTGAAAAGTCGAGGACTTACAAATGACAGGGTTGTTGTAGGCCATCAAATATTGTAGGTGAGGAATGTGTTGGTATCAGA